AGGGAGATGAGGAGGATATAGGAGAGATCCCGATTGTTTGCTTTGACTATGGGAGTTTCTCGGAATTTAATGAAGATTCCCAAGACAAAGCCTGTTACTAAAGACAGGAACAAGGCAAGGGAAGCTAGGATGATCCCCAAACTTTCCTATCCTATCCAGAAAATTTGGGGATCATCCTAGCTTCCCTTGCCTTGTTCCTGTCTTTAATAACAAGCTTTGTCTTGGGAATCTTCATTAAATTCCGAGAAACTCCCATAGTCAAAGCAAACAATCGGGATCTCTCCTATATCCTCCTCATCTCCCTTCTGTTCTCCTTCTTGACCTCCTTCCTATTCATTGGCCAGCCAAGGAGAGTCACTTGCCTTCTCCGACAAACAACCTTCAGCATCATCTTCTCAGTTGCCATTTCTACTGTCTTGGCCAAAACATTCATGGTGGTGTTAGCCTTCTTAGCCACAAAACCAGGGAATAAATTTCAGAGATGGCTAGGCAATAGCTTGTCCAATTCTGTCATCCTTTCTTGCTCTGGTGTCCAAATTGTTCTCTGCAGCATCTGGTTGGGCACTTCTCCCCCATTCCCTGACTCTGATATGCACTCACAATCTGGAGTGATTATTCTGCAATGCAATGAAGGTAGTGTCACCATGTTTTACATTGCCCTGGGCTACATGGGCTTCCTAGCTGCCATCTGCTTCACAGTGGCTTTCTTGGCCAGGAATCTGCCTGCAGCCTTCAATGAAGCCAAGCTCATCACCTTCAGCATGCTGGTTTTCTGCAGCGTTTGGGTGTCCTTTGTGCCCACCTACCTGAGTACTAAGGGGAAGTACATGGTGGCCGTGCAGCTCTTCTCCATTTTGGCTTCCTGTGTTAGTCTGCTGGCATTCATTTTCTTCTCCAAATGTTATATTATTTTCCTAAGGCCAGACCTGAATACAAAAGAACATGTGATGTCAAAATAAAATATAAAGTGATTTTTTGTAGGTTTTATTCTTACATTCCACTTATTTCAATATACTGTTTTATATTTTAATGTTTCTAAAATAGCAAACAGACCTATCCTGTTTTTATTTTTCCCTTTTGGGGTCCTATTTCAGAATACAGGAAAGTGTGCAACATGGATGATTTATTTGGGTAAGTGAAGAATTTCATCACAGTTACATTTGAAATAGAGACCAAATTGCACTGAAGAGCAAATTGGTTTACAGGCTCTGGTGAGACACAGACAGACCTAAAGGGATATTTGTATATGTAGGGGAATTGGTAATTTGTAGTATCCATCAAAACACTTTCCCAGTGCCTTCCTAGTACAACCACACGCAAAGACCCCATTAACTCTTTCTTTTAATCCCTCCTGCTCCCATCAAATACTCCATTCCATAAACATTCCATAAAAACTAAATTAGTACAACAATGGAGAGCTGAGTAGCAATAGGGTTGGTGGGCTGCCATCTCCTCCCCCAGAATTCCACATAACATTCTGGAGTAAAATATTTTCTTTGTGTGTGTGTGTGTCAAAATTCATCATAGTTAACACAGACAGCACAATTAGACTGGTGAATATAAGCCATTCTGGTTAAAATTTTTGTCCCTTCAGGGAGATCATTTGTCCAGAGTGGTATAGGGTATCCTGCTTGAAAAGACGGGTGGACTAGAAGACCTCCAAGGTATTTTCCAATTCTGTTACTCTATTTTGTTATTCTCTTTAAAAAAAAACCAGGGAGGAAAACACTTCCAATAAATCAAGAGAAGGGGGCAATTTGAGAATGCCAGACACCAAAAAGAAAAATAATTCCCATTGCAAATCTTTGTCCTGCCACTTCCATGTGATAAGGGGAATTGAGGTTCATGAGCATGCTTCTTCATTGTGGGGCCCTGCACTTTGAAATGCAACCAACAGTGGATGCTTTCCTGTGTTTCAGTTGTTGTAAGAAAACTGCTTACTGTCAGCGTTCCAAATATCATGCAGAATTAAATCAGAGTCCAAGGCAAAACTATCCTTAAAGTTTCAATTTAATAAGTCAGACATGTTGGCAACGAATGTGGAATCCCAAATCTGAAAACTTCCTGGGATTCCACCCAGTTGAAAGTTCATGATCTTATCCCCACANTTTATGACTGGTGGACTTGAGAAGAGGGTTAAAGTTGGGCTAACAACCCAGGAAATCAACTTGGGTGACACATTAGGCTGTGACGGACATGGAAGTAACATGCTCAACCAAAGAAACGAATAAGTATTAGGAAAGAGAGAGCTTTTGTGGACTAATATTAGATCATGGATGTCAAACTCACCTCATCACGTTGCCATCATATGACATTTCATGATGCTTTTCCCATTCAGTGAGCTGGTGTGGGTGTGGCCTGCATGTGACACATTTGGCCTATAGGCCGCCAGTTTGACACCCCTGGTTTGGATCAGAAGGATTACTTCCTGTACTAAGTCACTAGTCTTTGCCACTGGAGAATAACGTAGGAAAGTAAGAAGTATAAAGCTAGTTACCTCAATAGAGCAATAAATGATGCAACAAGGAATGAAAGAATGAACAAAGAATGAAAGAAAAACTAAAAGGCTGAAATTTGGTTTTTTTTTTAAAGTTTAATATATTTAATGTGAATAAAACATCAATGGAAAAATAATTGCTTGTTTGCTTTTGCAGAAGTTATATAATAGCATTGCTGAGAGAAAGCAGTGGGAAGTAGTACATGACCAGCTGTTCCAATTCCTTTACAATCATTGTTTTAATCTACAGCTGTTATTATTCATTTCTTTATCAATACCTTCCTATCCAAGTTAGAAATTTAAAACAGAAGATGTTTTATGAGCACACACAGACCAAGGAGTCTTTTCAAAGAATGTCTGAAGTACTTTCCGAACTCTTCTTTTCCTTTCATTTCTAGCTTCACCCTTTTCTTCAAAGCTCTCAGTTTCACAATAATTCCATAGAAGGGGTATATTTGGATGAGAAAGGAGATTTGACAGCTGATCTGGACATTGTGAATTGGGTCCTTTTCCCCAACAAATCTTTCAAGAGACTGAAATCTGGGAGTCTAGAAAAACTGACATCCAAGGATTTGAAAATTGCCATTGACCCAAAGAGTATCACCCAGCTGGAAATGCTGAAAAAGGTGAGACTAATATTTATTTTAGTTTCACCGAAGGTGCCAAAATGAGACTGGGTGGGGGTTTGCTTTCAATGCCTTTAAGGTTTCATATCAGTTTATTAGGCTCTCAAGAATGTAAACTTCTTTATTTCCTGTTCAGATGGTCTTGAAAACTATCAGCTTCAAAGTTTATACACACTATTCAATGCAATGTGAGGTAGACCGAGGCAGTCATGCAAATAATGTGGTTTATTTATTCAAAGGAAAGAATCCAGAGGTGCTATTCAGCAGGTTCTGACCAGTTCTGGAGAATGAGTAGTGGAAATTTTGTGTAGTTCAGAGAACCAGTAAATACCACCTCCAACTGGCCCTGCCCCCATCTATTGTCTGCCTCCCGAGTCCCAGCTCTTTGGGAGGGAATGGAGATTTTACAGTATCCTTCCCCTGCTACGTCTACCAAGCCACACCCACAGAACTGGTACTAAAAAATTTTGAATCCCACCACTGGAAGAATCCATCCCTTTCCCTGATAAATTTAAGTTCCGTATGTTTCGGTTTATAAGACGCACCCCCCCCCAAAAAAAGTGGGTGGAAATGTCTGTGTGTCCTATAGAGCAAATGTTGCCAAAGCCCCACCCAACTGGCAGCCCCCACTCTTCAGCTTCTGCCTTCCAGCAATTTGCCTCCTTGCAGCAAAAAGAAAACAGCCTGGTCAGCTTCAGCACAGCTTGATTTAGCACAAGAGCTGATTGGTGGTTGGATTGGCCTCCTGGAATACCACTGATCAGCTTCTCCAAGCTGTGGGGATTGCTCCGCCCATTGCCCCTACCCCCGATCACTGCCTCCACACCCCCCAAACAGCAAGGGCAGCAATAGGCATTCTCTGCCACCTGGAACAGGCCAAAAACAGGATGCAAGGAGGCAAAAATGGTGCATGTGGAGGCCAAAAAATAGGGCACCCAGAGGCAGCAATAGGCGTCGATGGGAGGCAATAGTGGCAATGGATGCAGTGATCCTCGCAGCCTGGAACAGCTGAATGGCGGTATTCTGATCTAACTGCCAAGTAGCTGCTTGTGCTAAATCAAGCTGTGCTGAAGTTGACCAGGCTTTCCTGTTTGCTGTAAGGAGGCAAATTGCTGGGAGGCAGACACAGATTTCCTTGTTTTCCTCCCCAAAAGCTAGGTGCGTCTTATAGACCAGAGCATCTTATAGTGCAGAAAATAGGTATTTAAATGAATTCTGTATTAAATTAAAAAGAAATACAATATCCAAATGTAAAAGAAATGCTAAAACTGTAATGTGTTTTAAACCTAAAAAGGGAGGAGGAAATAGAGATAAGCAGTTCAATGTGTTTGATGAACTTCAAATTTTACATCACAGATCTTAAAGATAGCAATAGCAATAGAACTTAAATTTATATACTGCTCCATAGTGCTATACAGCCCTTTCTAAGCGGTTCACAGAGTCAGCGTATTGCGCTAAAACAACCTGGGTCCTTATTTCATTGACCTTGGAAGGATAAAAGTCTGTCAACTTTGAGCTGGTCAGGATCAAATTCCTGGCTATGGAACCTGCAATATTGCATTCTAATCACTGTGCCACCTTGCCTCCTAAAATCCTTCTTTCTTCCCCATTAAAAAAAAAAGATAAATTCATTTTTATAAAAAATATATATTTTCTGGGCATTTTTTCTTCAGCCCCTGCCTCCTTCCAGGTGTGTGGAAAGCTGCCGCCCTGGATTCATGAAGGTAGCTCAGGAAGGGGAGGCTGTCTGCTGCTATGGCTGTCGTCCTTGTGCAGAAGGAACCATCTCGACCATGGAAGGTGGGTGGTAATAGAGAAAACTGGCAGACTTTTGGAAAGGCCACAGAGGCTGACAATTTTAATAATAAAATAATAAAATAGCATTTTGATGGGCATTTTTAAGCTTTGCTTTTTAAAAAATGTAATAGTTTTTAATAGGGTTAATTGATTTCCAGGGAGTGATAGTAATTTTGGAGGTTGAATGGGGACCAGTATATCAAACCACAGAGAGTCAATGATGACTTGGCTTTAGAATGCAGGTGGAATTATTTACTCTTCACCTTTACTGTTGAATATCTGGCTTATTTCGTGATGTCTCTATACAAATTGAAAACTTCTGATGCTTTCCTTCTCTTCCATTTCCTTGACAAATACATGACTGGAATTCTTCATTTAGAGATAAAGCAACACCACTGGAAACTCCCTCCCTCCCTCCCTCCCTCCCTCCCATCCATCCATCCATCCTTCCAGTGACATGCAGTGAGGTTTATGACTGGTGAGGCACTGGCACAGGGGTTTCAAATTTTTTTAGACTTGTGGACTTCAACTCCCAGAATTCCACAGCCAGGCATGCTCAGTTCCGATTTAAAGCGACAGCATTTGTTTTTCTCCTTTGTGAAAAAGTTTTCCTTCATTCTTTTTCTTCTCCCTCCCCCTCCTTCCCTCAAACAGACACACGCACACAGAGAAGTTGGATCCCTCTCTCACTCTCAAACTCACTCACTCTCAAACAAACACAAACACAGAAGTTGGATTGGATATATTTTCCAAAGGCTTGAAAGCAGCTCCTCTGCCACACACACCCATTCCCCTGCT